CTTCTCCAGGAAAGAAAGGAAAGTCACAACCCAGAATTCTGAGATAGCAAGCTCTTAAAAGAAGATTCAATGATAATTTACCTGCCTTTAAATCTGGAGTCAAACTTTGAACCTCGAGACAAAGAGCGAGCCTTAGTGAAGGTAAATCCTGAAGGAAGACGCTGAGCACGTCTCTTAGGCCGGAGGGAGGAATCTGAGATATTTACAATGGTGAGCACTGGAAGTTTATCTGAGAAAAGACACCAGAAAATATGCAACGTGTCACTTAGAGAAGGAGATCAAAAGAAATACTTTAGGGACCATGTGAGGAAGGAAAGAGGCTGGTGAATTCACCTTCAGTATCCAGGGGAGTTTTGTGAGGTAAACGCAGGATTCGAGGGTGGCCCCTCTCAATCCTGCGAATAGCTGCCCAGCATTGGGGGTGCTGACAAACAGCAGAGCTGCACGTGGTTTCATCCCACTGGTTCTTATCTGGCAAGTTCATAGCTACAAATGGTTCAGGACAAAAGCCAAGCCTGCAGCTTCCTAGCCTTCTGGAGAAACAATCACAAATTAGAGAGCATTATGTTAGCCCTGCAGTCCAGATCTCACTCTGGGGATCACAGGATAATTAAGGATTTGGTAACAAACAAGTCTGAAAACATCTCAGTGTGAGGCAGGATGGCAAGAGTTTGGGAGCAGATTGACTTCAGAAGGTCTCCTAATTGACTATTTAATAGGTGAGTGACCTGGGACAATCTGTTTCCTCATCTGTAAAATGAGGATAAGCTTATTTCAAGGGGTTATTACAAAAATTAATTAATTAATATTAAAAGGCCTGACATATGTTGTTGTTTGGTGCCATCGAGTTCACTCAAGACTCATAGCAATCCATGTAACAGAGCAGAACCATCTCATAGATTTGCTAGGCTGGAGTCTTTATAGAGTCTTTAGAGAGAGAGATCTGATGACGGTATTGTGGTTAGGTGGTTCAAACCCACCTGCTCCTACATGGAAGAAAAGTAAGGCAGTCCGCTTCCGTAAAGATCTACAGCCTTGGAAACCCTACAGGGCAGTTCTACTCTGTCCTATAGGGTCGCTATGAGTCAGAATCAACTCAATGGCAGTGGGTATGTTTTGTTTTTGCTTTTGTTTAAAATCTTTATAGAAGCAGGTGTGGAGTGTCTGACATATAGTTCATAATATACATTAGCACCCTGCCCTTTCCCCTTTCATAATCATTAGAGACAAGATGCCACATTTCCAAAAAGACTTTTCAAATTACAACTAAATGAATTACACGAGTGCCTCAGATGGCTCAAAAACACACCAACCAACCACTTTCCCCTTGGAAGACATGACTTAATTTTTCAATATGTCCCAATTCCCTTGCAGTCAGCTAACATACCCAGTAGGAAGAAATGGGTTTGTTCAAACAGTAAAGCAATAGCCTTGATACAGTTGCATCCAAGGCCATTGGATTCCCATTTACTGGCTAGAGGTCTTCAGCAAGTGACTTTACCTTTCAGAGCCTGTTTCCGCCTATAAAGTAGGGGAAAATAATCCCTAAGGAGGATCGCAGAAGCATTCAAAGAGAAAATGTGTATTTATATGTAATATATGTTGTTGTTGTTGTTATGTGCTGTCGAGTTGGACCCGACTCATAGCGATCCCTCCTTGGGTTTCCACGGCAGTATCACTACAGAAGTAGATTGCCCCATCTTACTTCCAAGGAGTGGCTGGTGGGTGTGAACCGCCAGCCTCCTGGTTAGCAGTCAAGTGCCTTAGGCACTATGCTACCAGAGCTCCCAATTACACATTATATGTGTAATATATAATAGGCAGATAATGGGCATTCCATAGCACTTAATTGGGCTCATGAGGAACATGTGCATAGACCAAGAGGTAACCAACCGTTCAAACAGAACAAGGGAATACTGCATGGTTAAAAATCAGGAAACATGTGGGTCAGGGTTATATCATTTCACCATACTTATTCAATCTGCATGCTGAGCAAATAATCCAAGAAGTTGGACTGCATGAAGAATGCAGCATCAGGATTGGAGGAAGACTCATTAACAACCTGCGATATGCAGATGGTACAACCTTGCTTGTGAAAATGACTCGAAGCACTTAGTGATGATCAAAGACAACAGCTGTTAGGCGGAAGTAAACCCAAGCCACCAATATGTCAGTTGGCAGCTTCCTCCAGGTGTCAGGCCCTAATAAGACAACCGAAGTGACAGAACCCACCCAGGCTGGAAAGTCCCATGCAATGACAAACTTCCTCCTGCGAAGCCCCCTCATGCTAATTAGGTGCAGACCCGTGCTAACAGCTAATTGGACCTTGTCATTTCCTTGGAGGACCCTGTCATTTCCTTAGTGTCCCCAATTAGGTCCTCTCTGTGTCTGTAAGAATCTATCCCCCCTGCCCGGGGGTGCGACTTCTCTGGCCTTGATGTTAGGGCACAAGAACCTCGCCCAGGAGTGGTAATAAACTGCTTCTCTGAAACAACTCCGTGTCCTGGTGACTCGGCAGCTCTGCATTACAACAGCCTTCTATAGATTACACGGCAGCTCTGCATTACAACAGCCTTCTATAGATTACACCTCAACATAAACAAAACAAAAATCCTCACAACTGGACCAATAAGCAACATCATGATCATGCAGGAAAGATTAAAGTTGTCAAGGATTTCATTTTACTTGGAAGCAGCAGTCAAGGAATCAAATGATGTATTGCATTAGGCAAATCTGCAAAAGACCTCTTCAAAGTGTTAAAGAACAAAGACGTTACTTAGAAGACTCAAGTGTGCCTGACCCAAGTCATGGTATTTTCAATAGCCTTATATGCATGTCAAAGCTGGACAATGAATAAGGAAGCTCCAAGAATTGATGCCTGTGAATTATGGTGTCAGCAAAGAACATTAAACATACCATGGACTACCAGAAGAACAAACAAATCTTTCTCAGATGAAGTATAGCCAGAATGCTCCTTAAAAGCAAGGATGGTGAGACTTGGCCTCCTGTACTTTGGTCATCTTGACAGGAAGGACCAACCACTAGAGAAGGTTATTATGTTTGGTAAAAGGTCAGCGAAAAAGAGGAAGACCCTCAGTGAGATGGACTGACACAGTGGCCGCAACAGTGGGCTCAGACATTAACTGTGAGGACGGCACAGGACTGGGTAGTATCTTGTTCTGTTGGACACAAGGTCGCTAGGAGTCGAAACTGACTCCATGGCACCTAACAACAATGTATGATAGGTGCTCAACAAATGTCATCTCTAAAGAAGCTGTAGGTAATCGTGACCGCCGTAATAGGTCTGTAAAGGCAGTACCTGTTTTTTATTTGACACATATTTATTGACTACCAAGTATGTCCCAAGGAGGGTTCGCTATGAGTCGGGTCACACTCGATGGCAAATAACAACAATAACAAACCAAGTATGTGATGGGAACTGTTCTGAGCACAGAGAACAGTAATGAACAAGACAAAGTCCCTGTTCTAAAGTGCTTATAATTTAGAAGAGTTAGCAAACTTTTACCCTGGGATTACGCCTAGTCTGTGACTTGTTTTGTTTGGCCTGTATTTTGAGACCAATATTTAAACACTGAGATTGTCCATAACGTCCAGATTTCTGGATCCCCTTAAAAATCAATGTATCTTCCAATACGGGGCTCGATTCCAACACGACAGCACCTGGCTGCAGCTGATTAGCTTCTGACATCCTTAAACAGTACCTATTCAAACGTTCCCCACCAGACACTGTTGTTGTTATGTGCCGTCGAGTCGGCCCCGACTCATAGTGAGCCCTCCTTGGGTTTCCGAGGCAGTATCACTACGAAAGTAGGATTGCCCAACCTTCCTTCCGAGGAGTGGCTGGTGGGTTTGAACCGCCAGCCGTCTGGTTAGCAGGCAAGTGTCTACTATGCTACCAGAGCTCCAGACACTACAACCTCTAAATGAAGCCATCCCGTTTGCCGTTTATCATCACATTTGCTGTTTCCCTCAAAGTGGAGAAATATTTCTCCGTACCCATGTTTCCAATAAAAGGAAAAGGAAAAAGGTTGGCTTAAGAGCACCACACGTTTCAAGAAAAAAATAAGTTAAAGGCAATTTCTACTCGTTTAATATGAAAATAATACAAATTAAAACACCTTAACAAAACGGTGGAAATGTTTTTTGACTGGGAAGGATGTAGAGTGAACAAGCTAACAAGCTAAAAAGTAAATACAACTTTAACAGGGCTTGTCTTTCAATGTGACTATGAATTGCGTTATTCCTACATCCGGCTGCTTCCGGTCTTCATCTGCCCCGGACGCTAGCCAAACCCATCTCAATGCCGGCAGGCACAGTTACAATGAATTATCGCCTATTAGTCCTGTGCCGGCATACTTTGCAATGAATAAACTCTAGGTACTAGTTATCAATAATATGAACATTACAAAGCTAGGAGGAACGAAATAACTAAGAATGAACATCCGCTTCAGTAGAGTTACGAAAAGATTCTCCGCTTCGTTTCAGGAATGAGAAATGTAAAAAACGGGAATACGAAAACCCAAGTCAGAGTCCAACCCGAGGTAGGAAAACGCTTCCCTTAGCGCCGCGGCTACGTCAACAGGCCCCACCCCCCCCAGCCGCCTCTGCTTACTCCTTCTTCCACAGCGCTACCCTCCAGGCCCGGCCGTTGCCAAGCAGCGGCGCGGAGCACCATGGGAAACGGACGGAAGGCCCAATGAGCCAAATGTAATGTGATGAGAAAGCTACGAAAGTGTTGGTGGCATGAAGCAGAGAAATGACTTCAGGGCCGGACGCGCGGGGCACTGTGGGGACTGAAAGTAACCCTGGATGTCCAAAATCCTTGATGCGTGGGAACTGTGGGTGCACAGGCGACCTGAGGCGGAGGCGGGATTGGGGTGAGGCGCCAATGCTGCGCAGAGCACTGTGGGACACAGTGTGGGCCGTGTGGAGCGGAACGGAAGCCTCAGCGGGTCAGACGGCATCGACGCGGGAAGTCCGGACGCTGTAGCCAGTTGAAGGGGAGGCCGCGGCAGCGGCAATGGCAGAGAGGCCGGAGGACCTTAATCTGCCCAACGCCGTCATCACCAGGATCATCAAGGAGGCGGTGAGCGGGCCGGACTAGCGTGTGGGCCTGGGGCGGACGAGCGGGCAGGAGGGAAATCGGTAACGGGTCGTCAGCGTGGCTCATCTCGGCTCTCTTCGCAGCTCCCGGACGGCGTCAACATCTCCAAGGAGGCCCGGAGCGCCATCTCCCGCGCCGCCAGCGTCTTCGTGCTGTACGCCACGTCTTGGTGAGCGGGGCCGAGCTAGGGTCGAACCATTAGGGAGGCTGAGAGACCCCTGGCTCGGAGTTCTGGCCTGGAGCCCACAGAGTGCAATGACTGGGTGCTTGCTAGCTCAGTGGGCGAAGCTCGTTGTTCTCGTCTGGTTCTTACGGGGCCTGAAAGAACAGCAAAATAACCTTGCCTTTGTTCTTTTGTGCAGGGAATGGAGGGATTTCACACACACACACACACACACAAAATTCATGCATCCACATCGTTGGCTTGTCCATCCCACTCGGGATGCGCCTTCCCTGCCCACTTCCGAAGCATCCAGAGGGCCTCTCACAGCCTCTGAAGGGCCTTTCTTCTTTTCTTTCTCCTTCAGTGCCAACAACTTTGCAATGAAAGGGAAGCGCAAGACACTGAATGCCAGCGATGTGCTCTCAGCCATGGAAGAGATGGAGTTTCAGCGGTTCATTACTCCACTGAAGGAGGCTCTGGAGGGTAAGGACCTTTCGGTATTTCCTCAGCCACTTAGAAGATCGTCAGCCAGTACTGGGTGGGACTCGGACCTGTTCAGTTGACACCACCTCAGATCGGTTTTGTGATGCTGGGCAGGTTATTTTTCCTTCTGTACCTCAGCTTTTCCAACTGTGGAATGGAATGCGTTGCTGGAGTCTGGTTCATGCTTCCAAACCTGCCTCCTCACCCCCCCCTCCTTTCTTACAGCTTACAGACGGGAGCAGAAAGGCAAGAAGGAAGCTTCAGAACAAAAGAAGAAGGACAAAGACAAGAAAACAGATTCTGAAGAACAAGACAAGAGCAGGGATGACGACAATGATGAAGATGAGGAAAGGCTAGAAGAAGAAGAACAGAATGAGGAGGAAGAGGTGGACAATTGAATGGGACGGGAGGGAAGACCTTGCACCTTAGAAGGTACCACTTTGAAGCGTGGTACACATTCTGTGAAGCTTTTTCATGCTGGGTGGTGTAGTCTGAGGCAAAAGTGCCTGAGATGGAAAAAAAAACTGGCTGGAATTACCATCAGAACCAGTGCTTCCTAGACTCAGAGCAACTGAGTAGCAAAAGCTTGTCTTGCTTAACCAGTCTGAAGGTTATGACTTTTTGACAAGAGAGCTTCTGTGACGCTAATTAAATTAGCTAACTTGATCTCTCTTGTTTAGTTATGTATATGGTTAGGCAGTTTTTAATCCCCATTTCCTCCTTCTTCCCACCCCCTAAAAAGTAAGAACTTCATTCCCTCCTGCTGTGTTCCAAATCACAGTCAGTAGAAGCTCAGGAAAAATTTGGGCTTTGATCATGATCAGCCTATATTTACTTATACGATATTTGGCAATACTAGCTTACCAAGAGTGATGAGAACGATCTAGCTTTAGGAGACAACTGAAAAGCTGTGGGAAGAAAATGAAATATTTTGTCAATTCACTTGATAGGGAGTTTTGACAGGCTCACTTGTCTTAGAAGCCTTCTATGTTGCATATAGGTAAGCAGCTTGCTCAGATGGCTGCACTCTGGGGATGCACGTTTTTAAATTAGCATTGTAGAGTGTAATCATCCAGGCGAGCGTGTCTTTATCTTACTTTTGCAAAATCGATGGCTTGATCTTAGATGCACCTCACTGCCTGCCACTGTAGAGCTTTAGGACTTAACTTCACCCCCTGGAAGGTGTAAAATCCCAGACTTTTCTCTTGTCATCTCCCAGACTTGTGAGCTTTTCATTATTCTTCAGTTCATGACAAGTTCCAGACTTCATCACCTCAAGGCACAACTTTTGCCCTCTGTGCGTCTCTACCTATCTCTGCTCTACTTCCCATTCCCACTTTCTCTCCCCTTCTTTTTCTCACTTCTACCAATCTAGGAATGTTAATCACCTGCTTAGGATCTAAAAATGTTGGTTCCTCTGATTCCTTAGTTATAATCTCATGTCTTTAAAAAATGATTCTGTAAAACTCCTCTAAACCTTAAGGGAAATCTGATGGTGCTCAGGAATCTAATTCCCCCTAAACCATCCCTGCTCTTTAACTGCCTCTAAAGTATGTTAGCCATTCTCTCTCTCTTTTCAGTGTTCCAAGCGCTGTAAAGTCTCTAAGTTGAATGCTTGGAGTTTGACAGGTACTGAAGTGTAGTTTGACACTGTTAACTTGTCAAATGAATACAATGGAAAGTTTGTTGATAAGTGAGTGAAGAATCTTGAGAAAACCTTAATGCGTTGTATAAATAAAGAACTTCTAGTTAAAAATGAGGACTTCTCTTTCACCCTGCTTGTTTATAGTGCACTTTTGGAGGGGATGGCCTATAGGTTATGCCTCATAGAATTCGTAGAGAATTTCTGAGCAAACTTTAATAAACTTGGGCTCCCACGTCTCCTTCAGTGACCGGCAGATGCTTCTCATTCACAGGCAAACTTGCTGTTCTTCAGCCACAGCCCAAGCTTTCACTGACTCCCCCTGGGATCCTGTACCTGCTAGATTACCAGCAACTCTGAATATTTGTTGAGTCCCTACTGGGTGCCAGCAGTGTTTAAGTACCTTCAAGTATTAAAGCCTATGAAGTAGCACTGCTCTTAGCTCCATTTTAGAGATTGTGGACAAGTTGAGAAAGATGAGGGAACCTCCCAGGTTTACACAAGTCTCTGCCAAGTATAAAAGGCACGTTGTTGTTGTTGTTATGTGCCGTCGAGTCGGCCCCGACTCATAGCGACCCCTCCTTGGGTTTCCGAGGCAGTCACTATGGAAGTAGGATTGCCCAACCTTCCTTCTGAGGAGTGGCTGGTGGGTTTGAACTGCCAGCCTTCTGGTTAGCAGTCAAGTGCTTTAGCCACTATGCTACCAGGATTTAAAACCTATGTGACTAAAAAGAGCCCTGGTGGTGTGGTGGTGAAAGTGCTCAGCTATAAACCAAAAAGTCCAAACTCACCAGCCACACTGCGGGAGAAAGATTAGTATTGGAAACCCTGTAGGACAGTTCTCTGTCCTATAGGATCACTATGAGTGAAAATCAACTCAATGGCAATAGGTTTTTGGTGTTTGTGTAACTACAGAGTCTATTACCCTCACTATAATGCTTAAATTTATAAATTTCATTTCATAAAGATAGATCCTCGACAGTCATTAAGTCCAGTGGTTTTTTCCTTCTCAGCAGAGACATCTTAATTCCCACGAGCACTACTTCAGGCTAAGCCTCAAGTCCCATCTGGACTTCCTCGGCTTCCTTTGAGCTCAGTTTCCTGCCTCTTCTCTGCTTACCTTAGCCTCCCCTGCCTTGCCAAGTGGGTCTTCCTGAAACATTGCTGTTATAAGCCCTTCCTGCTTCCTACTAAGTCAAATCCATACTTAGTCTGTTACTCAAAGCCTGCGTAAGGTGGGCTCATCTTACCACCTATTCTGATCTGCTGCTACTCCCCAACATAAGGCTGTTCCAGGCAAGAACAAACCCCCAAAATTCTCCTTCCACGTGGCTTTAGCTCATTCTGCCCCATTCCTCACCTAATTTTAATTCCCACTTCAACTCCCTCCCCCCAGCTTCTCTGCCAAGTCTTTCCTATTTTAGGTCCCATTTCTTTTCATCTTGAAGAGGTCTTAAAGACCCATAGCCCATCCTGATCTTCTTGTTATTGTTGTTGTTAATGTGCCATCGAGTCGGCCCCGACTCATAGCGACCCCTCCTTGGGTTTCCGAGGCAGTATCACTACGGAACTAGGATTGCCCGACCTTCCTTCCGAGGAGTGGCTGGTGGATTTGAACCGCCAGCCTTCTGGTTAGCAGTCAAGTGCTTTAGCCACTATGCTATCCTGATCTTAGCATTTGCCAAATCTTTACAATTTACCACCTCTTCATACATGATTTACCTATTGTTTCATGTGTTCAAACTGTCTCAGAAAAAATCATGTTTCCTGAGAGTAGAGACTGTGACTTAAGAACTAAGAATCTTTGAGGCCATCTACCAGTTTTTCCCAAACACACCAGTATCATTCCTTAATGGTGTCTAGATCTTGAAGCCTCCTTATTGAACTTAATGCAGTGTTTCTCATCTTACCCATGTCCTTCTTGCCCAGAGGTCTTGATCTGGATTTGGAGGGTGAGAAGATTACCAACCTTATCCATACAGAATTGCTTTTTATGGCCTAACCTTTTTTTTTTTTTTTTTCAGAAATATTTTTAAAACACTGCATTATGTTTTAAGTGAAAGTATACAGTGAATTCAATTTCCATTCAGCAGTTCATCATACACACATTATCCGGTGGAATTAGTTACATTCCCCACAGCTTGTCAGCTAGCATTTCCACTCGCCTGCCCCATTTCCATCCTTCCAGTTTCCCTGCCCCTCCTTGCCTTCTCATCTTTGCTTTTGTGTAAATGTTGACTGTTTGGTCTCAAATACTTGATTGCTTAAAGGGTCACATTACTCACAGGTGTTAATTGCTTATTTTATAGGCCATTCGGATTGGGCAATCTACTTCCATATCAGAAACCCAAAGAGGGGTCATACGGCAGTGCGTTCTTGCTTGGCTGAATGGCCCTCAAGGACTGGCTTCAGTTCCAGATTAAAAGGGTATCTCAGGGCGATAGTCTGGGGGTCCTGCTCATCTGTCAGTCCAGTAAGTCTGGTCTTTTGATGATTTTCAGTTTTGTTCCATATTTTTCTCCCATTCTAGCCAGGACATTCTATTGTGCCTGGTCAAAATAAGCAATAGATGGTAGTAGCTGGGCACCACCTAGTAGTTCTGGTCTCAGGCTAGAGGAGGCTGTGGTTTGCATGGGCCATTAGTCCTGTGTGTCATTTCTTCCTTGAGTCTTTGTTTTCCTTTACTCTCCTTTGCTCCAGATTGAAAGAGACCAAGAGTTGTATCTTAGATGGCTGCTCACAAGCTTTTAAGACTCCAAACACTGCTCATCCACTAGGATATAGAACATTAACTCTATGGACTAAGTTATGCCTATTGGCCTAGCTGTCCCAGGAGACTATAGTCTAATCTATTTTTACAGATGGAAAACTAAGGCTTGTCAGGAATAAATGACTTGCTCAAGATCTTACCACTAATTTATTACAATGGATCCTGTTCAGTGGCCTGCAGTCTTCTATTTCTTTCTATGCTTTTCATGACATTTAGCACAAAGCCACGTGTACTCGTAATCTTTTTTTTTTTTTAATTGAACCATAAAATATACATACTAAATGGTACAAATAAGTATTGAGCTTGGCACATTTTGTCAAACTAAAACACATCCATGGAACCTATACCCAGATCAATAACATTATCAGCACTCTTTGTCACTAGGACACTCTGAAGTCCCCTCAGATTCCCTTCCAGTCTCTCCCCACTTCTACACAGTAACTTTTATCCTGACTCCAACAGCAGAAATTAATGTTGCCTGGTTACTGTGGACTGCTAGAAGAACGAACAAATCTGTCGTGGAGGAAGTACAGCTAGAATGCTCCTTAGAAACGAGAGTGGCCAGGCTTCATGTCTTATACTTTGGCCATGTTGTCAGAAGGGATCAGTGCTAGAGAAGGGTATCATGCTGGGTAAAGCGGAGTGGAGAGTCAGTGAAAAAGGGGAAGAGCTTCAATGAGATGGATTGACACAGTGGCTGCGACAGTGGGCTGAAGCATGGCAACGATTCTGAGGATACCACAGAACTGGGCAGTGTTGTGGTCAGTCGTATATAGGGTCACCACGAGTCGGAATCGACTCTGCGGCACTAACAACAACACTTGTGTCTGACTCCTTTTATTCAACATCATGTTTAGGATGTATCCATATTGTTGTGTTCACAATACTTTTTTTATAAGTAAAAGTAAAATAAATATATTTTTTAAAATGGGGACAAGTCTTTCAGTCCAGAACAAGAGAAACCAAAACCCACTGCCATAGAGTCA